TCAGTGGTCATTTTCTGAACTGTTTAGTTTATGGAAAAATTGAATATAAAGCTGAGCATGTTACAGTGATACTTCTTTCATAGATTAAAAGCTAAAAGATATATGTTATAAAAAAAAAAGCCAAATGATTTATTGTTCATAATTAGAATTCAGCAGAAGTGTGCTGAGCAATTAGATTCATTTGAGTTATCAGTAAATAAGTAGGACGATTTAGTAAAATTACCTAATGTGTCTAAATCAATTTGGATAAAATATCAGAAGATATTTTAAAACCATGGGCATCCTGTGAGGTTGAAATTTAGAGGGAGGAAATTATTTGCTAATCCTATAATGGAGCACAATTGTTTGAAGACTCCTGAACGGCTGGATGTGGTGGCTGAGGCCTGTAATCCCAGCACTCTGGGAGGCCGAGGCAGGTGGATTGCCTGAGCTGAGGAGTTTGAGACCAGCCTGAGCAAGACTGAAACCCATCTCTAAAAATAGCCAGGTGTTGTGATGGGCACCTGTAGTCCCAGCTACTCAGGAGGCTGAGGCAAGAGAATCACTTGAGCCCAAGAGTTTGAGGTTGCTGTAAGCTACGACGCAACAGCACTCAACCCCAGGGTGACTGAGTGAGACTCTGTCTCTAAATAAATAAATAAATAAGTAAAATAAAGCACTCTTGATATGTGGACATTATCCACAGATACTGATGTGGAAACAGGATTTGTCCAAAATCTAAATGGCAGTTGAGCAGCAGAGGTAAGGATTGAAGTTCAGATGTGCCTTATTCCAGGATTTTTTCCTCCTGTGCTACACAGCTTTTGTAGGGGCAGTGCCCCTGGTCTTCATAACTACATTCCTCAAGACCTTACTCTTCCCTGATGCTCCGCTAAAGAAGCAGCTCAGATCAGTTGAGTACTATTACCCTTCAGTGTCAGTGTTCTCTTGCCAGACATCTCATCTCTTATAGTTTCACCATCCTAACTAAAAAAACAGCATAGAAACCAAAGGTAGTGACCACCAAGGGTCGGTGGTATGATGCTTGTTGTGTTCCGTACTGTGGATACAACTTACGGTCTCTGATAGTCCCAAGTTCAGCCTGTGTCCACTCTCTTAGTCTAGCTGGGGGTGGGGGGCGGTGTCTGAGAAATGGCTAACAACAATCTGGGGAAGAGATGAATAAAGAGAGATGTCGTAATTGCCCTCCCATATTTGAATGTCCCATGAAAGAGGAAGTTCTTCTGTTTAACAATTACAGGACACCGAGACAAATGTCTCAGAAAGGAAGGGCTTTCTGAATCCCAGAGCAGAGTGGACCACTTTAGGAGGTAGTGATTGCTCTGATAAGTGCGGACCAAAAGAGCATTTAGAAAGAAAGCTAGAGATGGGGAGGGGCTGTGGGTAGGGGCTTTGGTGACCCCCGAGGTCTCTGTAGCTGTGAACATCTAAAACTTTTTCTGTGCCTTTGTTTATCCTCAGGGATCCGTGGATGAGATACACTCATTTGGATCTTTTATTGTTTCAGGCCTTTTATTCATCTTAAATAAACTTGGAATCATCTTAGCAATAAGTAAGAAAATAGTTCTGTCACAGAGCATATTCTTGACTTTTCCAGTCTGTATCTTTAACAATTAATATAAATGTATTCTTAATTTATATAATTAATTAATATAAATGTATTAATATAAATGTATTCCATAAGCAGCCTCTTAATTGCTGCTGTGTATGTGGGATTATTAGGTGGCTGTGCGTGGCTATTTTAATGTCCTCTGAGTAGGCCTTAATAGTCATTTAAAACATTTGTCACCTGGGGATCTGCTCTCCCAAGCCCTTTGTCAGATGATTTAGGAGGCATTTTACACCTTCCCCGTAAATAGAATGACTATGTGAGTTTCTGTCTGTCACACAATCTCATCAGCGATATATTTTGAATATAAAAGTAGTATATATTCTGCCAACTTTTAAAATTTAGATAGGAATCTCCTAGTTTGGTGGAAAGCCTTGCCTCACTGCGGGTCATCTGGAAGCCAGAGAAATTGATTTGGGAATGTGGCAGCCAGCTGAGCACCACGTTTATTTTAAGCAATAAACATGACATGAAGAGGTAATTCCCCCAGGACCCACAGAGATGCGTGGGTACCCTCTGTATACATGTGTGTGAGGGGAGTGCAGGATGCGTGTTTAATCGGGCACAAACGCAGCCTGTAACCTGGTGGCTTGGCATTCTTCTCCTGATTCCAATTGAATCTGGCCCACTCTTCTACCCGCCATGCAGATTTACAAGCATTGTCCTGGCAAGATTGTAGCCACCAGCACTTTCATCCTTATACACATCCTTTCATCATCGTCATCACTACTATTATTGCAGTAATATTTCTTGTTAATACAGCCATGCATTGCGTTAAGCACTCCCCTGTATCATCTTACTCAATCCTTACAACAATACAGTAACTGTGCCAATTGACCTCTGTCTTCTGTTGGCAGAAGCAGCACCATAGTTCCCCTGCCTCACCCTCTGACAACCAATAAGCTTTGCTCTGAATCATTTCCAATTTTTGGGATACATAGTGTGCAAGTGTAAACAGATGGCTTATTGTTCTATAACTTTCTGAAGATGCTCTCAGTCCGTCGGAAAATGTCACACCCTCACACAAGATCAGCAATGACATATGGAGAAGTTCAGTTGTCCCTGCTGTTAAATGAAGGAAGTAAGTCAGTAACGCCTATTTAGTTTCTGTGTTACTAAATAGGCCGCTCTGGAATAACAATACTTCTAAAAATGCAGCCCTGTGGAATGTAATAACGAGCCAGGTCATTTGAGAAGATGTCTGTCTCAGTCTCTTCCTTCTTCCTGCCTTTCTCAAGCAAATATAATAAGGGAGATTGGAAAGATAATATTCAAATATGAGATCCAGGATCGATAATTTAGATGACAGTTTCCTCATCTGTAGAGGGTAACTTGTACTCATATGCTCAAAACCTGATGAGTTGGCTCGGCACCTGTGGCTCAAGTGGCTAAGGCGCCAGCCACATACACCTAAGGTGTTGGGTTCAAACCCAGCCCAGGCCCGCCAAACAACAATGGTGGCTGCAACCAAAAAATAGTCGGGCATTGTGGCGGGCACCTGTGGTCCCAGCTACTTGGGGGGCGGAGGCAGGAGACTCACTTGAGCCCAGGAGTTGGAGGTTGCTGTGAGCTGTGATGCCATGGCACGCTACCCAGGGGGATAGCTTGAGGCTCTGTCTCAAAAAAAAAAAAAAAACCTGATGAGTTTTTTGCTGTACTTGCTAATGGTTTTCAAAACTTCACTTCAGGTATTGGAGGCCCAGTAGCACTGAGTTCTCCTTGGACCTAAACGCTCACTAAAGTGAACAGAGAAACTGAATGCCAGGACGAGGGGTGGGACTCTGGGTCCTGCAGCTAGTAGGAGTAGCAAGAAAGAGAGGAGGCAACACCTTATTCGGAAATAATTTCAAACTCACAGAAAAATCACAAGAATAACACACAAAACACCCATATGCCCTTTACCCGGATGTACCCTGTTTAATATTTTGCCCCATTGCTTTTATCTCTGTTCACACACATACACATGCACACACTGTCACTCTTCTGAAACCTCTGAGAGTAGGATTCATGCATTATGGCATTCTCTATGGCTTTATACTTCAGTATACAGAAATAGGGATGCTCTGTTACATAACCACAGTTTAGTTATCATGGTCAGGAAATGGAGCGTTGACACGATTTTCATCTGTTCTACCTTTCATGCTCAAATGTCAACTATCCCAGTCGCGTCCTTTTCTTCCTCTTTCCCCCTTCAACACAGGACCTAGCCCGTGCCCTTCATTGTCACGCCTCCTTAGCCTCCTTTTGTTGGGAACAGTTCTTCAGCCTTTCTTTCTCTTCTTATAAAATTGGTATTTTGAAGAATACAGGCCATTTTAAAAACTAGCTATTCCTCATTTGGGGGTTGTCTGATGTTTCCTCATAATCGAATTGATATTGCTTATCCCTGGCTGGCCCACAGCAAAGAAGATATGTCTTTGGGTATCCACCTACCCCTCCCTTATAATGAATTTTGATCACCTGGTTAAGGTGCTGGCTAGATTTCTTCTGCATTGTCACAATTCCCCTGCCCTACCCCCGACAACCAACAAGCGTTATTCTGAATCATTTCCAGTCTTTGGGATACAAACAAAACTAAATGCTGATCTTTAAAAATCCAGAAGCATGGTACAAGTGTCAAAATATCTTGATGATAAGTCATACAGTCATGAGATGTTATAGTGGATGGGCGACCTTAGGATTGGCAAATGTGTGTGTTTGTGTGCTAATTTTAATGGACTTTATTTTTTCTAGCAGTTGTAGGTCTATGCAAAATTGAGCCCAAAGTACAGAGAGTCCCCCCTACATAGGCATAGTGTCTCCTACTGTCAGCTGTGTGGGATCCAGCACCTGCTACCACCCATGAGCCTATACTGACACATCATCACTCAGGGTCCTCAGTTTACATTAGGGCTCACTCTTGGTCTTGTACATGGCAAATGTGTTTTATTTTAAAAGTCAGTGTATTAGGCCAGGCGCTGTGCTCACACCTATAATCCTAGCATCCTGGGAGACTGAGGCAGTTTGATTGCCTGAGCATAGGCGTTTGAGACCAGCCTGAGCAAGAGCAAGACCCTGTGTCTAAAAAAAAAAATAGTCAAGTGTTGCGGCAGGCACCTGTAGTCCCAGCTACTCAGGAGGCTGAGGCCAGAGGATCACTTGAGCCAAGAGTTTGAGGTTGCTATGAGCCATGACGTCACAGCAGTCTACAAAGGGCAACAAAGGGAAACTCTGTCTCAAAAAAAAAAAAAAAAAAAAAATCAAGGTATTGTGTACATTTGCCACACTTAAAATATTTGGGGCTGTTACTTTGTGAAATTCATTTATAAGAAGTAAATTTTTATGTATTTTGTTTTTATTAATAATTATGCCTCTTCTTTTATTCCTTTTTATAATGATTATATCTCTATAGTTTACTTCACTTTAAGGTCAGCTTTTAATATCATGTCAACGGAGAGAGAGAAAATGAGGCAGCTGATGGAGCAGGATTCCTCCTCCTCCCCTTCTGCTCAGGTCATTGGTCTGAAGCACGCCCTGTCATCCGTAAGTTACATGTCTGTGTCACAGAAATACCTGAAAATGTGGCCAGGCTCATGAATTTTTTTGTATTTTTTATTTCCATGTTTGTGTTGAAAATTTGTGATTGTCATGGTTGTGTTGAAGATTCAGGAGAAAGCCAAACAAGTTATTCAAATTATATTCTAACCTTTCATCGGATGTGCTTATTTGAAACACCAAAATTTAGCCTCCCCCAAATCTTAGTAGCTGGTGTCTTACTAAATGTTAGATTCTTTCAGTTTGGTTTCCTCCGATTAATCTTAAATTTTTATGTTTCTCTAAAACTTTTATTGTTTGTTTGTGTGTGTGTGTGTGTGTGTCTTACAGGAGTTAGTTTATTAATGCTTATAGAATCTGACAGTTTGGAGACAATTGTGTGGCCCTGAGACACCACAAACTTAGACTGAGTTTTCCAAGTGACAGGTGGCAGAGCAAAATCCCCAAGTCACGCTCTTATCTTCTCTTTTGTAAAGCACTGATCCCGTTCACTCTTTCAGACATGTGAGCATTATTTTATTTGATTAGATGGTACACAACAGTGAGTTCTGCCAACCCCCATGGCACAAGGCATGAATCATACCGAAGCGCCTGTCAGGCAATCACTGTGCCTTCATAGCAACAGAAAAATCACTGTCAAGGCCTTAAATGTTTTTCAGTGTACATTCTGTCACTCATTCTCTCTCCTGTTTTCCATCCGTTTCAATTTATTCCTCAGAATAGTTGGGCTCTGTTGATGTGCTGTGTCCTAACCCTATATGAATGAGGTAAAATTGTCTGGTTTTCTACCCTCTATCAAGAGACTAGAAAACCTTTAACATCACATATTTATTTGTTCTTACTTTTTGCTTTGAAATTCCTGCTTTAAAAAGGGAAACAATCTTTTTATGGTAACATAAAAAGTTACCATCTGAAGGAACACTGAATTTTCTATTTGGGGGCAGGTAAGGGTGGGTGATGGTAAGTTTTGGGCTCTTGTTATCAGAGGCCAATATAGTCATTGAAAAAACTAGGAAATGTCCATTCCTCATCATGTTGCTGAGGAAAGTAATGTTCTTGGTATAATGTTAATCATAAATCTTTTACCAATGGTGTATACAATTGTTGTAGGATATACTTAAGGAATATTCATTTGTCTTTAACAGAAATTAAAAATAACATTGGCTTACCTCACGTATAAAGAAGAGTCTTAGTGTTGTCTTCAGGTCAGAGACAGAAACACCATCTTTTGGATTATAGTGGACAGTGGGCCATACACTGGGTGCTCCCGTGGTGTGAGAGGGACAAAGTAGACCTTTTTTGTTGTTGTTATTTTCACCCTGGGTAGAGTGCTGTGGCATCATAGCTCACAGCAACCTCAAACTCTTAGGCTCAAGTGATACTCTTGAACCTCAGCCTCCCAAGTAGCTGGGACTGCGGGTGCTCTCCATAACACCTGGCTGGTTTTTGTTTTGCTTGTTTTTGATTTTTTAAGTAGAGGCAGCATCTCACTTTTGCTTAGGCTGTTCTCAAACTCCTGAGCTCAGGAGATCCACCTGTCTCAGCCTCCCAGAATTGCTAGGGTTACAAACATATTTCTTTTTAAAAGTGTACAAAACTTTTCTAGGTTAGTTCTTTAGCATATTAGAAGGAGTCTCTAATAGGCTCCTAAAAGTCTGTCTTCCATGCTCTCCCTCTCTCCCTCCCTCCCTCTCTCCCTCACCTCTCCCTAGAGGAGACCTGGCCTCATCTTGTTAATCTGCTTGTACAGCCGCTGAGACCCACTTGCTTTGCTATCCTAGGCCAAGGTTGTTCTCACCTTCAGGAAGGATTTTATACTCTCATCCATGTTCATGATTTGGAAAACTTCAGATTACACAGAATGAACATTTCTTTCTCTTTTTGTGGCTTGGATTCGTGATTAGGTTCAGGACTTGTTTTTTAAAGGTAAAATTTTTAGAATCGTATCAGAGCTGTTAGAATGCACATATCGGTGCTATATGTGCTGTCTTAGTGTTTCTTTTTCTCCCTGCGGCTTACAAAAGAAAGAGAAGCTACTAAATTAACATAATTTTCAGACTATGCTAAGAGTGTAGCCACCGTCCCAGCAACTGATTGGCCAGAATAAAGTGAGAGCTCCAGAGAGATTGTTATGTGTGGTTGTGCGATCTTAGTTCTAGTACAATGTTTCTTAAATGGTCCTCAAGAATTTTCAAATAGCCCATACATGCTGTGGATACTAAAAAAAATTTTTAAAAGCCCCCGAATCCCTATTAGATATCCACCCGGTGGATCGCCCAGTGCTGCATCCTCCCACATTCTTAGCGGGTCAGCCCCAGGGCCCTGATAGATGGGAACAGCTCAGAGCTTCTCAGAAGAGAGGCAGGAAGACAGGCAGATGGTTGAATCTGTGCACAAGCACCTGTAGGGTTGGTAGTCGGAGTGTCTGGGGAGACAATCCAGAGAATTTGTCTCCTTCCAAAGTCAGACCATCAGAGACCAGTTGTCGTGAAGTACACGGGAATATCAGCATGAAAGAAATATTTTTCTTTACTTTTGAGCCAGTTCCCTCCTAACTGAGAGGTTGAGATAAGAAATGAAACCTGCCCAGGGGAATAGAAAAGAGGTCTGGGGTGATCGCATATATGCTCACATCGTGAGCAAATTAGCCCATTCCCAGGGCCATGTTCTTAAAGTCCTTACGCAGGTAAGTGAGGCTTGTTTATTTTTTAAAAAATAAATTGCCTTCATCCTGAAGAATGAATAAAATAATCAATACCTATTTTTGAGAAGAGTAAAATTAATAACAAAGCAGGACTTCCACAGAGTCCTACTTCTCAGCACTCTTCCTATGATCTAATTCAGCGGGGGTGATAATTAAACAACATCGAAAGATGCTCAGTCATGGGGAGGTGGGGCATCTTTTTCAAAGGCCAAGAAAGCTTTGACTCCCTCATCCTTCAGGAGAAAAGGGAGTTGGCCAAAGAGACTACAGATGGTTGGGGGGAGGAAGAGGTGCCATGCAGGCCCTAGACGTAAAAGCTCCCGGTGTCTGAGATTTCTGTGTCGGTTGCTCTGTTAACCCTCCTCCCCTGCTGGAAATGAGACGAGAAAAGGCGCATCATTTCCAGAGTTTCCGACTTGTTATCTCCCAGGCTTCTCAGAACCAGTGTCCTGGTGGAGAGCAGTCCAGGGACAAGCCCTCACTGAGAGGTTTATCAGGGACTTAGCGATCTTTCCTGCTGGGCCCCCTGCTGTGCTTTTATGAGACAACCATTTATTAACGGAGCCCCACTATTTTTAACATGTTCCAGGCCCTAGCACAAAACACAGACCTTAAAGAACGCTTACGCAGAATCCATGCCGAGTCTCTGCTCCTCGACCCCCCTGCTGTCGCCAAGTCGGGGGACAATCTGGCAGAGGTGGGTAGGTTTCTCGTCTGGTAACATCTCCCCGACTGCCACCCCCCTCCCGTGACACCCTCTGTCCAGTTGCACGGCCTCCCTGCTTCACCCTCATGAGTGGTGTACATCTCCACCCACCTCCTCTGCGTCCTGGTCACAGAGGCCGCCGGGGCTGAGGTTCCAGAAGCTTTCTTGAGAGTATGCTGCTAACTGCATTGTGAAACTGCTTCCCCACCCCAAGTCCAGGATGCTTCTTTTTGCATTTCTTCACCCCATTCACTACCCTCCTGAGTATCACCCCTTCCACTAGGTGTTCCTGGAGTGGGAACTCTAGAGAAATAGACATTTTCTCCTGTTAATTCCTGAAGAAACCTGTATTTCTCTGACCTACAGTATCCCATTCCTTGCCAGCTTCCTTTACCCTCTCTGTAAGAATCGCTCTGACCTTCCTTTTTGGCTGTTCCCTTTTCCCCCTTCCTGTGATTTTTCTTTTTCTTCTATAGAACACAGTCATTCAATTGCGTTACAATTGAAGTGTCTTGGTCCATTAATAGTATATCCAAAAAGGTCCTTTTTTCAAGACTTGGGATATGTATCCAAAATAGACTTTGAATGTGTTTAAAACTAGAGAAATTTCAGAAAAATACAAGTAGGTTACTCAAAAAATAAGTCGGAAAGAGTAGCGAAGGTAAAAACATTTTTAGTTATTTTTTATAGTGATATGCCTGCCTCATATGTGTTGTATTTTTTATTAACACATCTGTGAGGCTGAGTACATTTAAAATAAAAAATAAGGAAGGTAATAAATAAGGGGTATGTGTTTATATGCGTTTTTAAAAGATGTTGGCCGTGTTTAATCATAATCCTTTTTCTTTTTTTGACTGTCCGCAAAGAAAATAACTTCCCTACTGGGGAAGCTGTTGTGAAAGGTGGTGAGGAGGAGAGTTGAGTCAGACTCAGGGCTACAGACTGCAAGTCCCCTGTGAGGCACAGACTATGCCACATGTGGACGGGACCATCCTGTCTGATGAGAGTCACCCTCTCTGTGCAGAGGCTTGCAAGCTCCTATTACTTCCAGGTCACATGATAGTGGTTGAGTGTGAAATTTCTCTACAGATGGCACTACCCTGAAGAGATCACTTTCCAGTTATTTTAGCCTTGACCTAAACTGTCACTTGCTGGATCGATCACCTAAACATTACCTATGGTGGCCTTCATTTTAGGCCTGGATGGGGCCTCTTTTAAATCTGCATAATTGCTAATAGTAGGGCTCAGTTGTGTTCAAGATTGGTCATCACTGAGAGTTGTTTTTTGCCAAGAATGCCAATGTTTTGTGGCATTCTCCAAAGTTTTGAACATGTTTCCAGATAGTACTTACTTTTTAAGCAGTACATTATTACATGAATTTATCTGTTTAACAAATTAAATAGGTAAGCTTCATGTAGGCTTTTATCACTTTATGGTCAGCCTGTATAGTTGGGACTATTTGTGTTTTGGAAAGGAAACCAAAATTACAAGTCTTTTAAAATACATATATTTAAACCATATATATTAAATGTGTATTTTTTAATGGATCTCAAAGGTAACATACCTGAAAGCAGAAATGCTGTGAACTGTCCTTGAAGGGTGGCAGTGAAATCCCTCAAACTTACACTTTCTAAAATAGCCTTCTTGAGTCTGGAATCAGTGGTGCATTTGTCTCGTTTGCCTATTTCCTCTTTCAGAGATTGTCTGTTTCTCAAAGTTTATCCTTTCTTCCACTAAGTGACTCAGGCTGACTTTCCCAGCAAGGGAAAAGCTATTGTTGTCTTGAGGAAATGAAGTCGGAGAGTACGTGGAAATGGCCTCCCAGACCAAGAACTTGACTCTGGTTTATTGTTTTAGGTGGCCGCCACGCACCTCCAGTACTCTGTTGGAGCACGGTTCCCGACAGTGGGGTCAGCCCAACGTACTGTTTTCAGGACTTCTCTCTTTCTTTGCTTACTTTGTTAGCTTTTCTTCAGCTACACAAATTACTTCTCTTTAGTATTGGACCTGGCTACTTGAATTCAAAAATCCCCCCTTTGCTATCAGAAAGTCCTCCTGCTTTATATTCCTGAATGTGAAGATTTAAGATGATCAGATTATTAGTTCTTAGATTGTTTTATATTGACTTAGATTCTAAATGAAAAGCCAAGTGACTTCTGGAGGTAACATTCTACTACATCTAAAGTCCATTTAAGAGACTAAAAAAGAGGAAAACTTTAAAGAAAAATCTGGAAGAGAAGAAGGAAACTTCTTTTAAGGGCTGCCAGTTTGCTATGCCCCATATGCATGTGAATGCATCATCTCACACATCCTAACCATTATTCTGTGAGGCAGGTGGTGATTTCATTGTAGAGACAAGGAAACCGAAGCCCAGAGAGGTTAAATAACTTCACTCATACACATCTTATAAGAGACGGAGCTGAGAGTTAACATCTAAGGAGGCCAAAATACTTGTTTCCTCAATAGCATCACGCTCCTATATAATGAGGATAGATATACTAAGCCAGAAATTAAAACACTCATTGATGCTCTAGTTGTTAAAATAACACTCAATGATGCTCTAGTTGTTACACGATGGTGTAAAAATAGAACAGAATAACTATCTCCGGCACAAGCGCCATTTTATAGGGTGGAAAAGGCATCAAAAACCAATGGGAAAGAGAAAGCTTGCTCAGCAAATTAGGTTGGTGCAGCTCAAAGCAATTTAGAAGCGGCTGAAATCTTTCTACTTTGCAAGCTAAAGTGAGTCACCAGTGAATTCAAGTTAAATATAAAAATTCAAACAGAACACAATTCACATTCGCAAAGACACGGAAACAACTCTAGAGCCCACCAATACATGAATCGATTAATAAAATGTGATTTATCATGCTAGGGAGTACTGCTCAGCCATAAAAAAGATCATCTGGAATCTTTTTGGACAACCTGGAGGGAACTGGAACCCATTTTGCTAAGTGCAATGTCACAAGAAGGGAGAAACAACCCAACAGTTAAGCGAGCATTTGGAGGTCAATCTCTGTGAAAGTCGAGCTGGGGAAAGCGGAAAAAGGAGATGGGTAAATTCCGACCTATTGGGTACAATGCACGCTATCTGAGTGAAGGGCATGCTTCACCGAATAACTTTGACGCAATCTGTGCAGTAACAAAGTATGTAAAAAAACATGTAATCTTCTGAAATAAAAAAAAAATTCAGACTGAAAAATATTCATCTAAATATCAAACTGCTAGAGTAGGGAGAATTTTCTACATTGGGGGGGCAATCAAGGAAACTATGAAAGGAATGTTGACTAGATTTGACTATATTCTTTTTTAGGAAAAAATGGCGTGTATGAAAAAATTAGAAGGCAGATAATATACTGGGGAAAATATTTTCAGTGAAAATGTCAAACTTCGTTAATGCTAAATCAGTGGTAATGTTTTAAATATGTAAACAATAAACAAATAATATCCAGTAACTTAGGACCTCAAGAACTAAATGGATAAAGGGTATAACTCACAAAACAAATAAACAGACCCTAATACAGATAGTTGTAGGAGAGCTGTTTTCTACTTTTTATTTTGCAATACTTATAAATTCACAAGAAAGTACAAAAATATACAGAGGAAGGTCCCTTGAATCCTCCAGCCTCTCCTGAGATTAACATCTCTCCAATTTGTTTCTTAAAAAGGAAAAAAAATGTTCACCCTGATGAAATTAAAACAATTAGATTAGCACAAAAAATTGTACGAATTGGGCTATTCAGGGTCCTTAATATAGAGATGTAGAGAAAATGGGGGTTATTCCTTGTTGATGTGATGAAGTAATATATATTTTGCCTTGAATGTTTTTAATAATTCTGCTTCTGAAAATTGATTCTAAGAAATAACAAGACAAAACAAAGGCATATTTATAAACATCCTCACACCATCTTTGCAAATTTGGAAACACCCTTAATTTCTAATTAAGGGAAAAAGGGAATCCCTAACAAAAGGGAATTGTTACCCGATGACACATATGAATAATCAACTATCTATCAATTGAGTTCATTATCTTAAAGAATTTTAATGGTCTAGGGAAACATTAATATCATGTTAAGTGCATGTAACAGATAATATGTAACCTGGGTACAGTTTGAACCTGGTTTTTCATATTTAAAAAAAAAATCTATACCCAAATATCTTCATGCAAAAAAATTCTATGTAGACTACTAGGTTAACAGTGGCCATATCTAGGGAATGGAACTTGAATTAATCCTTACATTTTATTTACTTTTTTTTTTTTTTGTAGAGACAGAGTCTCACTCTATCGCCCTCAGTAGAGTGTCGTGGGGTCACACAGCTCACAGCAACCTCCAACTCCTGGGCTCAGGTGATTCCCTTGCCTCAGCCTCCCGAGCAGCGGGGACCACAGGCGCCCGCCACAACACCCGGCTATTTTTTTGTTGTTGTTGCAGTTTGGCTGGGGCTGGGCCTGAACCCTATACCCTTGGTTTATGGGGCCAGTGCCCTACCCACTGAGCCACAGGCGCCGCCCCATTTTACTTACATTTTTTAGTATTTTTTATTTTGAATACATATTTCTTTTATCCTCAAAACACATCTTAATTTTGAAAAATCTATTTTGGTGTTGTTTGGAAAGAGCTTATAAAATTACATATATGCAAATAGTATGATTACCATTATTTCAGAACAAAACAAAGCTGCACACATAGAAAGGTTTGGAGAGACATGTGTCAAAATGCTTACTAAAGTGGTTGTTTCAATGTGATAGGATTATGAGAGTTCTCTTCCCTCCCAGTCTCTTTGTTTAACCTTTTGGAATGTAAACAACAAACAACCACTCGTGGGTTACAAAAACGAGGGGAAATGATTAAATGAAGCAAAAAGAGGTTAATAGTTTAACAAATGAGGTTCTGTGGTGTTTGGGACACCGTGACAGCGAATATTATTTATTTTTGGTGTTGGTCAGTCAGGAGATCCTTCTGACCCACCATTCCGGGAGGGGAAAGCTATAGAGAGAATAGCAGTGACTAGTTATAAATTAATGAGAGGATGAGTAAATAAATCATGAGCATGTTAGTGGCAGGAGCACACCAAGGCCACAGGAGGATTCTGTTGTTGAAATGAGCATTAAAGGGCCTATTCACTACACTGTCTTCCAATTCACTATCTTTGTGCCTGGCTCTTTTGAGAAAAGAGACCTTTTCCTGGATGATGCCACTTGTGACACTTAAAGATTCTAAAGTGATCTCTTGGGTAGGGGAGAAGAGCAGCTTGCTTTTCAGAAGGCTGCACGAGTATTGAGATGGGTGGGATCCTGAATACCTGGGGCAGATGTCTTATTTAGGAAGCAGATGCTGTGTGTGTATTTCAGTGTGTTCCTGAGACACTTCATAAACGGACACTTGCCCTTGATTATTTATGAAAATCTGTGGTTCTGTCATAGTAACCCCTTACGTGAGTATAACTTAAGTTTAGAAGACTGAGTATGCTGAAATCATACAATTTCTTAGTGAAATGTAATAATCTGCCTTAACTTTTGTCCCCCATATTATTCTGGGACTTGCTTAACAGATACATGATGGAGAACAGATACATAATTCCTTTACCAGCCCAGTGAAAGAAGAGATGAGGAGTGGGAAAACTCAGGGGAGCAATGTCCTCTGATTCAAACAGATTGAACCATCTTGTCCTGAATCTGTTCCTTTTCCTTGGGTGTCACCTCTGTGATCCTCCCTTCATACCAAAGCCCCCTATTCAGAGCCAATCTCCCCTTCTCTGCCTGTGCAGCACGCTGTCTGGTCCACAGTCTGGGGCTGCCGTGCATCGGGGCACATTCTCCACACCACTCATTCTGGGTAGAAACCTCATCTTACTGTTTTATCCCTTCATTGCCAGCTCAGGACTCTACAAACCTTTTTGTCAATTTATTGAATTGAGCTGAATTTTCACTTGCAAGTAATAGAAAATCCTCCCCAAAGCATATAGGTCCTCCCAAGAGGGAGAGTCCGCACAATGGGGTGGAGAATGGAGGGCCAGGCCAGATAAGAAAATAGTGATACTTTTTTGTATTGTTGGTACAAAGGCCTATAAGGAAGATTAGGGATTTCCTTCTCTTGAAGAGTCATTGTGGGTGGAGAGAGACAAAGAGAATTTATGTCATTTCGTGTATGAATAATGAATGACCTGCCACCAGGGCCACTTCTGGACCAAAACACCGTTTACTTGTCAAGGGGTGCCTCAAAAGCAGCATGTAGGGCTCTGAGAGACCAGGGGGGCAGAAGAAAGCGATGTTGGTCTGAAGCAGGCGTGCAAGGACATACACTGAGTGTAATTCAGAGCAAATTTTAGGATGAAAAGAAACATTCAGCAGTGGCAGAGAATAAGAGGATGTGATTCAGAGAGCACTGGAATTTTCCCCCCGTAAACGGAACAAGTCATCACCTTGGCGGTTGTTTATTGCTTTGCAATTTGTTGCATGTGGGTGAACAGTCATAGTGCCTGTAAGTAGGTTCCCATTTCGGGGAGAACTTCATGTCCCCGTTGTTTTGTGGGAGCCTTGCTTCTCCCCAGCACTGGAGCTGACCTGTGCTTTGAGTTGCTCGTTTGCATGGGCCTGTGACCTCATGTGTTATGCAACTAAATCTTTTATTTATTTTGCTTTGCTTAAGACTGTTTCTGGAGTATGTACGTATTTTTGTTTTTGTTCTTCCCATAGGAAAATTCCGGAGATGAAAACCGAGCTCTGGTCCATCAGCTTTCCAATGAAAGTAGACTCTCCATCACTGACTCCCTCTCAGAGTTTTTTGACGCTCAGGAAGTTCTGTTATCTCCAAGCTCTTCAGAAAATGAGGTTTGAGCTCTGTTTTCAGTGAGGTGCCTCAAAAATCCCTTTTGTTGCTTTATTAACCTGTTGAGTAATTATTTGCATTTAGAAACATTAACCTCAGTGACCTCTTTCCATCGTTATATTCTGAGAGTCCCCTCATAAATCACCCAAAAGGATCCAGATGATATAGTATGTTAGAACAGTGGTTCTCAACCTTCCTAATGCTGTGATGTATTTTCATTGTTACAAAGGGGTTGCAACCCCCAGGTTGAGAACCGCTGTGTTAGAAGAAGAGTAGTTGTAAAAGTAGAAGGTGTTGAATATTTTCTTGTTTCTGTTACTTGATTTGTTTCACTTCTTTTCGAGTAAGGGTTAGTAATTTTGACTTCTACCTATTTAATGATGTAATATTTCTACTACAGAGAAAACATTAGCATCCTATGCCTTTTTTTAACATGGAATTTGACCTACATTAATTTATAAGATATAATATAATAATTTATTTTTGGTTAATACATAAAAACCATACTTTCCTGAATAGGAAGGTAACATTGCTGTGTATGTGCACTAACAATTTTACCCCTTCATGGAGTAGTAATCTTATGTATTAATTCCCACAGAAGATTCTGTTTTCACAAGTAGTTCAAAGATAAATTGTACCTCCTATTTAAACACGAACAGATTCTGAAAATACCGTCCGAATCACTAAGAATTTTTATAGTAACAAAAATATTGTTTACTTGTTCTCCTTGCAAGAGCTAATCAAGAATGTATAAGAATTTTAACAACAGGGATTTTCTGCGAAAACCGAGGCAGTTTGGTGAGATACCTCTATGAAAATAGCATTCAAATATATTTTTATAGCTTTGTAATGTGGGACTCAAAATGTTTGCTCATTTGGAATAAGGATTTTATGACAAAGGTTGTTTACTCTTACTCTGATTTATTTGTTTCTTCTTTCCCGTAGATTTCTGATGATGATTCCTACGTCAGTGATATAAGTGATAATCTTTCCTTAGACAATCTCAGTAATGATTTAGATAATGAAAGACAGACCCTGGGTAAGATTTACATTATTTAAAGTCTGAAAAGTTTGGATTTTCACAGAATACTAATAAGCATATACAGTTGGCCCTTAAATAATGTGGGGGTTAAGGTACCAACACCTCTTGCTATCAGAAATTTGCTTATAGGGCCAGGCATGGTGGCTCACGCCTATGATCCAAGCACTCTGGCAAACTGAGGAGGAAGGTTTGCTTGAGTTCATGAGTTCAAGACCAACCTTAACAAAAGCAAGAACCCATATCTACTAAAAAAATTAGCAAAATTAGCCAGGCATAGTGGCACGCGCCTATAGTCCCAGCTACTGGGGAAGCTAAGGCAGCAGGATCACTTGAGTTCAGAAGTTTGAGGTTTGCTGTTAGGTAGGTTGAGGCCATGGCACTCTAGCCCTGGTAACAGAGCAAGACTCTGTCTCAAAAAACAAGAGAAAAAAAAGAAAAAAGAAAAGAAAGAAAGAAAAATTTACCTATAAATTTTCACTTCTCAGAGACTTAACTACTAATATCGTTCTGTTGACCAGAAGCCTTACCAATAACATAAACAGTTGATTGACACATATTTTGTGTACGTATTATATATTGTATTCTTAAAGTAAGCTAGAAGAAAAAAATCTTAAGAAAATCATAAGGAAGAGAAAATCTATTTAGTCTTCATTAAGCAAAAATGGATCATTGTAAAGGTCATCTTTGTTATCTTCGTGTTGAGTAGGCTGAGGAGAAAGAGGAAGGGTAGGTCTGGCTGTTTTCAGGGTGGCAGAGTGGAGAAAATCTGAGCATAAGTGGACCCACATGGGTCAAACCCATATTGTTCAAGGTCACTGGTGTAGAGTACCTGCAAGCAGAGACTTATAAGAAGCACTACATAGGAAAATTAAGACACGATCCCTACTCCCAGGATTTTATAATCCAGGTGAGGAGACAGCACTCATGTGTGAAAGATGTATTCATTCAAATCAATTCAAATAAATTTGTCTGTTCATGCAAATATTTATTTTATAAAGTCAAGATGCACCAATTATCATATAAACATCAAAAAATAATACAAGAGATAACCCTTTTATTCTCTCTGCAGAGATATTAGAATATAGCTTTTTGCCTTGGATATCTTGGGGTTTTATAGTTTAGGAATTTGATAGGTTTTCTACATCTAATAAAATGTCTTGTCTAAGAAGTAAGTTATCTTCAAATTCTTCAAGATAAGACATTTTAAAGTAACTAACTGGTACCTCCTAGAAGTAGGGACCCTTCAAACTATCCTAAGATGTCACTTTATTACTGGTTGATCCTCAGAGGGAAAATGATGGACAGGAAGGGTCTTTCATGTTGCTAGTTTGAACTGTAGAGTACCTGAGTTATCTAGATGGCCCCTCAAACAGCCCTAGTTAGAACTTCAGTGACAAAGCCTGTTTAGAAAGGAAATGCCCTTAAAAAGAATATGCTCAGCTGGACGGTTTTCTGCACAAGTCCTTGTAGCATCTAATATTCCAGTCTTAGTACTCATTGTCCCTAGGGGTCTCTGGATTTGCCACCATGCTTTGGATACTTAAAGCACTGTTTTTATATCTACATAGAGGGCAAGTGCCATATCAGGTACCTTTTTGATATTTTAGTGTTCCCTATCTCAATATGTATGTGTGGACTATGATGAAGACCTATTATTTGAATGCTAAAGACCTGCTCCTCGGGAGCTACAATATATGAAGAAAAAAACCCAGATGATTCTGCTACACTCTGAAAGATCATCCCTTCAGTATCATACCTATTAGATGTGAGATGATCATCACACTGTGTTCATTTCAAATATTTCTGGGGAGGTGAACTTCTTGGTGGAAAAGTCTAAGAACCAGTGGGCTCAGTAGAGAAGGCCTTTAACAAACAAGCTCATGAACTACATGTTTTTCTAGAAAAACAAGGAGGCAAATGGAAAAAGAAACGAAGGAACATTACTTACTTGTCAAAAAATGTACACACTAACCCAGTGCTCCCACCATAGATGAGGAAGAACAACAGATGCTGGAGTCCTTCATCTCTTGAGACCATAGAACAGGAGCCACAGGGAGCAGGGAGTGAATGAAGGGTTCAGAGGTCAAAACTGAAAACAGGGGACGTGATCCAGAACCTGAGACCATGACTGCACTGAGTTGACCACAGCCTGGATGAGAGCTTAGGGCTAGTTCTGTCTTATTCCACAACTGTTTTCCTGGCTGAGGTTGCCTTAGCTTAAACAAGCACTGGGCAAAACCCAGCCTTCTTTGTCAGTATTTGAATACTAGAAATGGGTGTCCTCCATTTTGTCACAGAAATTCTCCAAGAAGGGGGATCATATTTCTAAACTTCAATACTAGCCTGTAGAGATAGGATGTGGAAGTTATCATTATATCTCATAGAACCATTTTGCTACAGTAGGAAAAAGGATAGGATCAAGGTCTTGATACACTGTTATTCTAGAATTTCTCTGAGTAAATGTGAGCTTTTAGAATATTTCCTATCAATGTCTTCCCCCAAATCTCACTGAGTACATATTAGGAACTGTTACTTTGCTCAGTGCTATGAGGAAGTTAAGTGGTAAAGAATATGGATTCATGGACCAGGCTTGGTCAGTTAAACCCAGTTCTGCTACTCACTGGCTGTGGGATCTAGGACAACTTACTTCTCTTTGTCTCATTTTCTTCATCTGTAAAATGGGGCTACTACTACTGTATGCCTCAAGAGGTAGTTGTAAAGAGTAAATGTGAATAATACATGCAGAATGCTTAGAAGACAAGCAGGAGCAAGATGTGTGATAGCTGCTAGTAGTATTGGTGGTACAGAAGTATTCTTTCAAAATTTAGATTTTTGAAATCGAAGAAATTATTTTGAGACTACATGGAAACTATTTTTTAAAAAAAACAATTGTCATTAAGAAAAAAGCAACTACCATCTACAACTACTTACCTAGGTTAGACTTTACCCATACTAAGCAATTAAAACAAATTCAAAAATTAATTGACTGCCTGGATTAAGCCAAGATTGCATAGCATCACAGCATTTTCATATTGTCTATTCATCTATTCAGCCTTTCTGTTCAGAGTGACTGACTTTATAATGAGTAAATGTTAAATATTTATGTCTAATAAATAAATATGTACCATTAAAATATATTGGTGCAATGTAAAAGATTTCATTTGAATATAGGCATATTTGGCATGGGAAAAGAATTTTAGAGCATGAAACAAAGGAAAAGATTGATAGAGTTACACAAAATGTATGTGTTTCATTCATTAAAAAATTCCATGGGCCAAATTTAAAGGTAAATGTCAAATGGGGATTAAATTGTAAGATAAATTTGAAAACAAAAGATTGGAGTTTTAATGCATAAATAGGAAAGCAGACAATTCAGCTAAGAAAAAATATTCCAAAGAAGAAAGTACTTCAAGCCATATTAGAAATTTTTGAAGTTTTGAATTTAAAAAATTTGTAAAATTAAAACAAGGAGATAATGCTGCCTACCTGACAGTGTGACAAAAATGTAAAACAATGACAAGCCTAGAAATGCCTCAGAAAATCAATACTCACATATGTTACCCCTAAATGGGAAAATTGGTTTAGCCTTTTTGAAAAGCAGCCAGATCATATGCATTGAAAGTCTAAAAACATTCATAGTTGTTGACATAGTAATAGCACTTCTTTGTATCCTAAGAAAATAATCAGAGCTACAGGCACATATTTAAATTATGAATATTCACCACTGGATTTTTGTCGCTTTGGTTTTGTATCACGAAACATTGAAGCAGACCTATGAGTCCAACAGTACGTGAATGATTCAGTAAATTATGGCATGCCAACAACATGGAATATTTTTACAGTCATTGACAATGTTTTAGGGTTAGGCACAGTGACTCAAGCCTGTAATCTTAGTACTCTGGGAGGCCAAGGTGGAAGGATCTCTTGAAGTTAGAAGTTTAAAACCAGCTAGAGCAAGATTCTGGAGAGAGAGAAAGAGAGAGAGAGAGAGAAAACTAGCCGGTCATAGGGGCACATGCTGGTAGTCCCAGCTACTCAGGGAGGCTGAGGCAGGAATTTGAGGCTCCACTTGAGCCCAGGAATTTGAAGTTTCAGTGACCTATGATGATGCTATTACATTCCAGCCTGGGCAACAAAGAAATGAGATTCTGTCTCCAAAAACAAAAAATAAACAACAACAAAAAGGATGTTTTAGGAGAATTTTAAATAACATGGAATTTGTTAGCTGAATAAGTAGAACGTGAAAAATTCATACAGTATGAATAATACGAATGATGAAAACACTAAGTGAAGATATTCTAAACTATAAATGGCTGCAGTTTGGGGGTGGTGGAATAATGAATTACTATTATTTCCTATATAATTTTCCTATAAAAACATTTTAAAATTAGATTTTGAAGGTATTTTTAAAGGTTAATGTATAAGCTTTTATATTCAGTAACCTGCTGTAGGGATAGAAACCTAATTTCTAATTTTATTCTAAGTGTATGTGAGCATAAGGAACTAGCTTGAGTAGGAACTTAAGAGCCTCCCTATCAATGAAGTCCATGAGTTTTAGTACATGTAACTTTTGATATTTCTTTATTTATTTTTATTTTTTCTTATTCTTTTGAGACAGAGTCTCACTAGGTTGCCCTTGGTGGAGTGCTGTGCTGTTATAGCTCACAGCAACTTCAAACTCTTGGGCTTAAGCAATTCCCTTGTCTCAGCCTCCCAAGTAACCGAGACTACAGGAACCCACCACAATGCTTGGCTATTTTTTGTTACTGCTGTTGTAGTTCTCATTGTTTAGGAGGCCAGGGCCAGGTTGGAACCCACCAGCCCAGGTATATGTGGCTGGTGCCCTAACCACTGAGCTATAGGCACTGAGCCAACTTTTGATATTTAAATACTCAAAATGCTTTTATTTATTTTCTGGCTTCCAGTCATATGATTGAATACCTGAGTATAATAATAAAATTGAATACTTTGGCCAGGTGTGATGGCTCATGCCTATAACTACAGCACTCTAGGAGGCCAAGGCAGGTGGATTGCCTGAGCTTACAGGTTCAAGACAAGCTGAGACAGAGCCAGACTCCATCTCTGAAAATACCCGGGTGTTGTGGTGGGTGCCTGTAGTTCCAGCTACATGGGGGAGCTGAAGCAAGAGAATCACTTGAGCCCAGGAGTTTGAGGTTGCTGTGACCTATAATGCTATGTCACTCTACTGGGGCAAAAAAATCAGACTCAAAAAAAAAATTAAAAATTGAGTACTTGCTAGGTAAGGTTTTTAGTCATAGATTTTTAAAAAATAATGGAATAAAATCAAAAGCTTTGTAGAGACAACCAGGTGGCTTTCTTTCAGGGCTCGTTCTTGAAGGTGGTGGGGAGGCAAAGTCCAAGAGAAGAACTTGCTTGCCGGCCCCGGGCCCCAACACCAGTAACATCAGCCTGTGGAACATCCTGAGGAATAACATAGGGAAGGACCTGTCCAAGGTGGCCATGCCGGTGGAGTTGAACGAGCCCCTGAACACGCTGCAGAGGCTCTGCGAGGAGCTGGAGTACAGTGAGCTTCTGGACAAGGCCGCACAGATTCCAAACCCCCTGGAGAGAATGGTGAGGACTCACCTTCCAAGGTCACCGCCCAACCTTCGTCCCTGAGCCACGAGGCCATTCACGTGGGTCCACCAGAGCTAAAACAGGCAGAGCTGAAAGATAGCTCTTATCCCCTCCGGTTTCCTTTTGATTGCTCCTGAGATAGGGTCATTTCTCAGAGCTGTCTGGTTCTCCTCTGCTGGTTCCCTTGTCAGGATTTGCCCTGGGGATGGAGGGCTTCTCTGGCAGCTGAAGCCTGAGGTGGTTGGGTCTGTGGTTTGTGCTTTTCTTTCTCCAGAGCCTTCCATCTGATTGTCCTCACATGCCTTGCTGGAAAACATCTTCCGGGCTGTCTGCGTGTTTATTTTTGCTACCCCTGGGTGGACAGAATTTAATTTCTGGAGCTGTTTTTATCCTCCAGGGTAAATTTCCCTTGAGAATGTTTTTGTTTATTTCTGGATTTGTCCCATCAGCTCCTAGGTTTTTGGAAAATATAGTTCACAGAGGAGGTTTTCACATCAGAAAGATTCTCTTTTTTCCTCTCTCTGATTTTAATGAGTAAGTTCAAAAAACAAAACAAAACTCATCCTAGAAAAATTCACCTTCTATCTTCAGTCACAGATCCTCGGCTTTCAAAGGTGCTACCAAGTCTCCCTCTTGCTCCCCTGTCTTGTGGGGATGGGGAAGACAGACAGTCCCGGGGGTTACAACTAGGGGCAAATCAGTCCTTTTTATGACTGTGCCTGACTTTATTCTTGGAACCTGGCTGTCTGTATCTCTTTATGCCTCTTGATAAGTTACATGATGAGCAATAAGGTCATTGTATGCAATCTAGTGTCCCCATATGCAAATTCCTTCCTGGGCGTTCACTGATTGGCTAAATTGGGATAGGAATGCACCCTTGACCTCACAGACCTAACCAGGCCCACACCCTCCCCTTGATAGAGGATGCCATTCTTTCCTAAATCCTAAGCATTCTGGAGTCTTAACTCTCATTAGAAGATCCTTCCTTTGGGGATTTGAAGGGTAAGGTGGAATGTGAGGGGCCTGCTCAGAGAGATCCCACAGTCATCCTACGCAGTCTCCAGGGCCTTCGCCATCAAAGAGACTTTCTTCCTTGGTACAGATGATAGTCAGGGTAGGAGAGAAAAACAAGCTGTATTTTTAAAAACTCTTCTTGGTTACTTTTCCCCAGAGAATTTTTGCTTGTGGGGAAATAAAAGAGAGAGAGGCAAACAGCTTCGAAGGCAAGTGTTAGAAGTCAACGTTTGTGGACAGCTCTTTAAAGGAAACCATCCACCTGGAGGGTGAAACTATTCTTAAAGATGTTTCAGTCTTGCAGCAGTTTAGAGCCCCTTAGGCTATTCGGCTGATTGATTGGTATAATCGGCGCTCAGCAGAAGTTTGAGGAGAGGCTTCACGTCCCCAGCACAACCACTGAGCAGGGGCCTTTCCCTGGGATTTTGTCCACTGCACTGCAGGTCAGCGTGCTCCTGCGCAGACTGTCTCTCATGTCACCAACCCAAAAGGAGAGGCCTTTCTTTTCCTGCCCCGCACTTTCTCCCTCCCACCCCCAGCATCATAAGGTCCTCTTATCAGTTTGGTTGTATTTTAAGTTGCGAAGGCAGTTCAGGATTGAGTCAGCCTTCCATATCCGGCGTGTCACAAACATATGGGAAGCAGAGGGAGGGGCAGAGACCCAGGTTTCAAGAATAGGCAGTCACAGATGGGACTGGCTCCAGTGTGGTGCACCGATTCTCATAAAGCCACCCAGCTGCTCTAGAGCCTCCTGAGACCTGAGGTGGCAAGGTGGGACCTATTTCAGGAAACACCAGAAATTTTGCAAAAGGCTAACGAGGAAGGTCATACGTGTATGACTAGTAAATATTTATGAAAGGCACTTCTTCAATATGGGCTTGTGAAAGCCCTTCTTCAGTATAAGAAGTTTCATGAAATGTGCTGGGAAGAAGAAAGGTTGAGATTGTTACTATCCAACATTAGAGAGAAAACTTGGCTATGACTACTTAGATTTAACTTTTTAGCAAAAAAGGGGGGGGTAATTTGTCTCTTTGGTGGTGCCTTCAACAGGGAATGGATAAAAATGCTGAGAATCTCACAGTGGGGGCCATTAAGAGATTTTGTTCACATAAAACAGTCCTTCCTTTTTTTTTTTAAACATTCTTTTCTCCCTCCCAGAAAAGAATAATTTTAATGTCTTGTTTCCCAGGCTTAGGAAATGACTCTCACAGATTTTCTTCGGTCACACTGAGTTTTAGGTTTCTGTTAAGATCAAATTGCAAATAGCTCAGCTTATGATAGTCATCTCTCAATTTAGGGGCAAATATGGCTTTTTAAAAACATGCTTTCCCTCTCTTCTGCTAAAGCCTTAGTACCATATCAGGATTCTCAGATAAGGTCAGGCTTAAAGGTACTTTTCTGAGCTTTACAGTTCAAAAAACAGCATAGTCCATCCTCACAGTATCATTACGTTGATAGCATCTCCCAACTTTCAGGCATCACAATAAATGGACGGTTTAAAAATGTTTGGTTAGTTGTCTCCAGACCCAAACAAACATTATATAAACTACAATCCTAAACCTATGTTGGGTTGGTGGTGTTTAACCAAAGACAAATCTTTGACTAAAGCCGTGGAAAGAGAAAAAGGTTTTATTTCTTTGTGAAAAATAAAGTTCTCGGTGACTCAGAAATGACGTAGTTCTCTCCTTCTTGTCCTTAGGTGTATGTGGCGGCCTTTGCCATATCAGCATATGCGTCCAGCTACTTCCGAGCTGGGAGCAAACCATTCAATCCGGTCCTTGGAGAAACCTATGAATGCATTCGTGAGGACAAGGGCTTCCAGTTTTTTTCAGAACAGGTGGATATACACTCTTTTTGTTTGTTGGGAGGATTTGTTTATGCCTTTCATTAAATGTGCTTCTAAAATATTTATTTCTCACCTTTCACTGGCTTCAAAGCAACTGGGATAATTACAGTGCTTTAAACATAAAGGGAAGGATAGATTTCTTTTCCACTGAAACCTGGCCACCATCATTCTTACGTAGTACTCACTAGGCTATACGCATAGCCACTGTCCTTTTTCTTTAAAATTATTAGTGAATGGAATTTTTAAGGCATGAAGCATTTGCCTAAACTATAATTTTAGAATTTTCAAGTATACTCCCTGAGTCACTAACATTATCCTGCCAGAGCATGAATACCCCCATCAGAGTGGGTAGCACCAAATAAACATGCTATTCTTGACTATGGTGTAAGAAAAATCATTCATTCTTATATTTATTCACTCAAACCAATAAATTGTTTATAGAACCTATACCATGTACCTGGAGCTATTCCAGGTGCTAGATACTGCAGTGAGGTAGGGCTTAGGGCAGGGGTCCTCAGAGTTTTTAAACATGGGGCCAGTTCGTTGTCCCTCAAACCGTTGGAGGGCCAGGCTGCGGGCCCCAGGATGGGTCGGCTGCTAAGCAGGACAGGCAGCGGCGGCAAAAACACCCAGTAGGCCAGATAAATGTTCTAGGCTGGCTGCATGTGGCCTGCGGGCTGTAGTTTGAGGATGCCTGGCTTAGGGGGTCAGGCAAGCATCCCTGCTCTCATCTAATGCGTGGACAGACCTTCTAATTGTGTAGCCTTAGGTCCCATTAGATTCCTATCATATAAGAATTAGCGTAGAAGGATATTCAGGAGTCAGACAGCCCAGGTTCCAATCTCAGCTCTACCTCTTACTAGCTTTATAACCAGGGCAAATTCTGCTTCAGATAACTTCTCTGCGCTTTAGTTTCCTTGTTAAAGGGGAAAGATGACAATTATATGTCATCTTTCTTTGCGATAGTTAATAAGAAACTGTCTGCAGAGCACTTGGACTCCGTCTACAAAGCACTCTGAGGCATGAAGGTAAATGTTGTGGGAGTGTTGCTATCATCGCTGCCGGATGACAGCATCGTTTGTTAATAGTGGGGTGTTGGGCACACCCAAAATATCTGTCAACAAGGAATTGTTTAGCTAAAACAGAGCATGTACGTACTGAAATAAAAAATAACCCTCTCCTCTCGTTAGGGTAATAATCGAGCCCTTTCTCTTTCGGTATATCAGTCTAGGGACACAAAACATTGTTGCTTCCATGGTTCTCTCTCCTCCTGATTCTTAGGACACTGAGGAAGAGGGGCAGTGGTTGCTAAAATGCTATTTTCTTCCTGTTATCTTGCTGCCCTTTTCATCAACGGATTTGCATCATGGGGATAGGGAGAGAAACGTGGTATGGCCGAGACATTTATGAAGATGGTGCTTATCTTAACTGTAAACGACAAGCGGTGTTTTCTGGAACTCAGAGGAAAATGATATCCAGTAACGGCTGAAAGCATATTTTAAGTAGCTTGCTAGTTAGAAACCAAAACAAGAAATTAGACACTGGCTGATCGTCGGGACGAAAGGAGTTAAATCAGCAGTTAAAAGGGATAAGATGATGTGTCTGATTCAAATTCATCTGGGTTATTTAAATACCAAACCCAAAATAGAATAAGAATAAATGAAAATATAATTTGGTTTCCATGGTATTATATCCACTCTGGTGAAAAAAAAATAAAGGCCAGAAATAGCCCCAAACTACAGCAGACAATCAGGAGAAGATGAATAGCTGTAAGAAAAGAGTAGTAACGTGAGCTTGTGTAGAGCTGAGTTTCATTCCCCTGAGCCCGACCGGGCAAGGCCAAATTCAGGAGAGTTCCTGGGCACATGTGCACAGAGACGGGAAGAGGGTTACATAACTTAGCTTTAGTTCCATGGAGTAGATCCCAAGGAAAAGAGCAAGAAAAGAGATCTGGTTATTGTTCTTAGCATAAGATGAACAGGGTGAAGATTTATAGACCTGCCTGCTTCCCATCCTAACTTCACATTTCACTCCGTGTGGCTTTGTATAAGCTACTTACTTGACTTTCTGAGCCTCAGTTGTTTCTTCATCTGTAAAAGAGGAATGATGGTAGCACTTGGCTCACGGGTTGTAGTTAGGCTTAAACCAAATAACACACTGATGTAAAAGTTCAGGAAGTGGCTATTGCTTTTATATTCAGAGGGAAGTTCTAAAATACCTTTTAATATACAGTGTTAAGAATAGGGAGAGGTGAGCTTCAGGAATGACTAGATCAAAGAAAACGAGAAAGGTATATATATCCTTTATTATACATGCTTTAATTTATTACAATAAAATATGCTATACCTATTCTACTAGTACAAGTGGTTTGAAGGGGACATGATGTTGCTGGTGAATCTCTGACAAAAGGCCGGCCATCAGGCAGCCGGAAGTTCTCATGGCTGGCTTCCCCATGGTAATACCATTAATCCTGATCACGATGGTGCTGCATCATCTAATACTAGTTTAGCCTGATGACCTCAGGGAGCTGGTTATCTTAATATACCCAAGAATGGATGAGTCTCAGGGATAGAGTCACACTAATTAGGCTTACAAGAGACCGATGTATAAACCAGAATGCATTTATTGTGAAAAATCCACTTACCACGGGGACCAGAAAGCTTTGGTCATTGTGACCAGGTATGATTTTCCAACTGACAGATGGCTTAGGAAACCAAATTATAATCATAGATGAGTGTACAATGTGAAGAAGATGTGGCTATGTGATTCAGTACGGCAGGCTGCCCTCTACCCTAGGAGTAGGAGTGGTTTGAAGCCAGGGCCTTCTTTTTCCTGGTCAGCAGGAGACACAGCAGTGTAGCTCCCACCATCCCCTTCTCACACTCTTGTTTATGCTGACCAGCTCCCTCACTGTACACAATGAGAATGCCAGAGCGTTTCTTCTGTTTCATGCTGGTACCTGCCGGTATGGTTCGTTCTGCTTCTGGCCCAGGAGACGGTCTTCCTTTATGGAGACAGCATGACTCTACCCTCGCCCATCGCGTGGAGGTGATAAACTTAGGCTTTTAGGATTTGGAAGTTTCTGTGCTTTCTTACATGTCTCTATAATGAGTACAGGTTTCTAAATAAGATGATAAACTGGGCGAGGCCCCCAAATTAATATTCTTGGGTAGAATTTTATTCTAAGGAGGACATTGATGAAAATGCTATCTCTAAACTAAAAAAACCAGAGAGAAATAACTGGGCCTTTCTCCTGAGTTTTCTAGACAACAAAGCCTGAGATTTGAAAGGTGGTGACTCTTTCCTCCCAGCCCTTGGATTTTGTTTGTGCTTTGGTGGGTGTGTGGATATTCCAGGTGCGGAGTGTCCAGGGATGTAGAAGTAACTGCCGCTCAGAGAGTCCAATCACATCGAAGCCTCTCTGTGCTGGTTCTCATCCGAGAGGACCCAACACACGGTACCGAAATGACTCATGCAGTCACCAAACGGAGAAAGCATCTCTTGCTCAAATTTTCCTTACAACAGTTAAGTATTAGGTTTGTAGAGTGCTCTATGCTTTCAAATGTGTACATGATCCAATCCCCAGAATAGCCCTGTGCAGCACGTGAGGCAAGGACCAGTTATGAGCAAGGAAACCGAGGGCTAGGGCAGTGTTTTTCAAGCCTTTTATCCCAAGACACACTTGAACCTGTAATTAAACTTCCGCAGCACGCTTAAATTACGTTGATCAAAAAAAAGAGTAAAAGAAAGAATATACTTACTGTGCTTTGAACTTCTTTTGAAAATAATTTAATTAATGATCTTTAAACATTTTCATGGCACACTTAAGATCCTCTCACGGCACACTGATGTGCCACGCGCAGGGGTTGAAAATTACCAACCTAGAGGCTCAGCACTTCCCAATGCCTCTCAGCTAAGGCTAGAACCAGACCCTCCACTTCCTTTTAGTCTACAAAATAGCCTTTTTGTAGACTATGCTGTCGATGAGATTTTACATGGCATTGTCTAAACCGGGGTGAGGAACCTGCAGCCCTCAGGCCACATGTGGCCTTCTAGGTCCTTAAGTGCTGCCTTTGGACTGAATCCAAATTTTACAGAACAAATCCTTTTATTTTCATTAATATAGTTTTGTTCATCTTTTATGTTTTTATTTTATTTTTAAAATACCAAAGAATAGGGCCTGTGGCTCAGTGAGTAGGGCACCTACCCCATATACCGAGGGTGGAGGGTTTGAACCCAACCCTGGCCAAACTGCAACAAAAAAATAGCTGGGCATTGTGGCAGCGGCTGTCGTCCCAGCTACGTGGGAGGCTGAGGCAAGAGAATCACCTAAGCCCAAGAGCTGGAGGTTGCTGTGAGCTGTGATGCCAAGGCACAGTCCTGAGGGTGATAAAATACCAAAGAATAAATTAAGTTTCAAGGAAATAGACCTTCCTGATTGACCAGCACAGTTAGAGTATTAGTAAGCCATAAGGACTAAATTGACAGCTGCTACATTCATGATTTAGTTCTAAGTTCCCCCACCTGACTGGTTCCACTACTGCACTCATTGGTGAGAGTTTGTGGAGGTCGAGTATGCCAGTCTGTTATCCACATTTGACGGCAGGGCACTGTGTTACTGTCTGAAGTGGAATCTGTAAATAGTTGCACAGCTCCACAGCATTTTCAAATTGTCTGCTTAATTAACCATTGCATACCAATGGGGGAGGGAGGGACCCCTTTGTTTCTGTATGTTCCTGACCCCCCCCCCCATTGGTGTGACTAACAGCCCATCGTGTCAAAGAAGGCCAAGAGAACACTGGATGAAGAAAACAGATTTTTTAAGGAGGATTAGGAATTGTCATAGTGTCTTTTTTCTGCAGAAGACAAAATGATTTGTCTGCTTTGTGATACAAATGCAATACCAACATGAAAGAAATTCAGGGCTCATCAGCCTTGTGACCCTCATCAGGAACTCATATTTTAAATTCAAGAAAGGGGCTTGAGAAGTT